CTAATAACAAATCAGAATGTTTTTCATAAATTGAAAACATAAGAAGACAAAGGGCACCACGTCATGAAAGAAAATCAAATGTAAATCTATGATCAAAAAGAAATACGTTTTATATTCCAAGCAGAGACCGTCACAGGGCAGGGCTGCCCTGATGCCCTGACGCCCTGCCCTGCCCTGCCCTGCCCTGCCCTGCCCTGCAGGGCAATTTTTTTTTTAAAGCCCTGCCCTGCTCGCCCTGCAGGGCAGTCAGGGCGCAGGGCAGGGCAGGGCAGGGCAACTTTTTTTGCCCTGCTAATTTTTTCCTGCAAACCGTGCGATGAGAAAGATTTTTTAGTCAATATTGTTGATGTTACTAACTACTACAGATGTCGTTATGATCTGATCTGAATTATGGTTTTCTCACCACTACATGTGGTGAAAATTTTTATATTTGTCATTGGGTAGAATTTGGTTCATTGGAATTACAGGACTACCTTTGAATTTTATCTTTCAGAATTTAAATTATCTATAACTTCATCGAGTAGTCATATAATGTCTTCAGGTGGTTTGAATAAGCGTTGCCATCCCGATGCTTTTTTAAATTCATTATCATTAAATTTAAATTCATCATCAAATTCAATATCATCATTATCAAATTCAAATTCAATATCATCATTATCGAACTCAAATTCAATATCATCATTATCAAATTCAAATTCAATATCATCATTATCAAATTCAAATTCAATATCATTATCAAATTCAAATTTATTGCCAAATTCAAATTCATTATCAAATTCAAATTTATTACCAAATTCAATATCATCATTATCAAATTTAATATCATCATCCAATTCAATATCATCATTATCAAATTCAAATTCATTTGATTCTGAACAGATCAAACGTCTCTTAAAGTACGAAAAGCAGAAGTATCAAGTAATAAAAAACGAATCCGCATCTGCTGCTTTATGGTGGCGAGCTTTTGGTTATCCTGCACAAATGAATAGTGATAAAGAATTAGAAAGAATTGTTGGATTTATTTCTTGTTTTAAGTGTATGAATACTCAAGTTTATAATAAATTTAGTGGAACAAAACGTTTTAAAGAACATGCTGATAAATGTTTTCCGTTATCGAGCACAACATCATCATCCAATAGTTTTACTTCGTCTTCATCTTCAACTTCAACAACACAAGCAACATTGAACAAGATGGGTTTTATTAAACATGTAGATTTCACAGAAAATGATATTACAAAAGTTAAAGATTTATCTGTAAAATGGGTTTGTGGTGATATTAGACCATTTAGTATATTAGATGACTCAGGTTTTAGAAATTTAGCACAAGAATGTGTTCGTTTGGGTAAGAAGCCATAGGTATATATAATTTATAATCTTATTGATGTCGTTTGTTAGGAGCTGTGTATGGAATATTCGATGTTAATGAAGTATTACGTGGTGAAAAGTCCATATCGCGGCATGTTATGTTGTTTGCTGATAATGCACGTGAACAAATAAAAGAACTTTTATCAATTCCTTTGAAAGAACATTCATTGACAATTTGTCCGGATTATTGGACAGATTCATACAAAAAGATTTCTTATTTAGGTGTGAGTGTAATAATCGTTGATGATGAATATCGTTATAAATCAATAGATCTTTGTTGTAAGCCATTCGAATACGAAAAGAAGACGGCTCAACATACTTTAAATGTACGTCTACTGGTTGTTTTTGCCTGATGTACTTCTTACATACAGAGAAAGCATTGCTTATATTTTCTTTCGTGATCTTTTCTCTAAGTTTTACATACTTAGACAAGCTATCTTTCTGAAATCCAATGAATTAAAAGAGATGTTTTTGTTGTCTTGAGATGTCTACAAAATATAAAAAGGATTCGGCTACTTATTCTTGAAGTGAAGCGTATTTTTAGTATGAATCTATTAAGATCTAGTAATGAATAAATATTTTGACAAACATTCACTCATAATGAAGGTTGTGTAGTCTATGGAAGGCTGGTTTAATGTTCTATAACTTCAATTTGAAATATATTTTAATTTTTTTGTAGGCACTTAATAAATATTTGGAATTTTTCGGGATCAACTCACTGGCTGATGTTAATATAGTATGCGATCGTGGTAGTAATTTCGTTTGTGCATTTAAAAATTTCCAGCCTATCTTCTGTTTTGGGCATAGAATAAATAATATCGTGAAAATAAATTTTTTCCAGAACAAAAAAAAAAAAAAAGGTACTGTTCGCACAGATGATTTAACACATACATTTCATGCTGAATCAACAACAACAACAGCTAGTTATAATAGTAATGAAAATCATGAATCTTCTGATACTGACAGTGAATCGTCCACTGATGATGAATATGATAACACAGTTTCTTTACCAGTTATCCGTAAAAAGAAATCTGTTTTAAGAAAGACTCCTATGGCAAAAATTGAAGTTTCAATTTCTCAGGCGAAAATCGCCGTCGATCAAATTCCACCGCAGGCTAACCATGTTCTTCAAATTTTAAATAAATGTAAGAAGATCGTCAAGTATGTCAAAAAAGTGAGCATTTTTCAAATAATATTTATCTTTCATGTCAATTTATATTATCATCTTTTCTCATTTGGCTTTTAGACAGGTATCAACAATGATATCAAAGTAGAAGGTGGTGTTACATTACATCAATCATGCATTGTCCGGTGGCTGTCTATGTCAAATCTCTTAGAAAGTCTCTTAAAATCGTTAAAAGCAACAAAAAGATTGTTAATAACCAAAAAAAAACAATCATTAATAAATGATCTAGACGAAACAACAATTAAGCAGCTAGTGCTGCTATTAAAGCCATTTAAACACGTAATGACGTTAATTCAAACAGGAAATGCACCATCTTTACATATGGTTCTATTATGCGTTTTGACGTTAAAAGATGCTTTAACTTCATATAAAGCATTAGTTGATTATAAAAAGATTTATTGCAATTCGACGAAAAAAACAACTATTGATGATGAATTAGAAGAAGAAGAAGATGATGATGATGATGAATTAGAAGGTTAGTAATCAAAGACAATTTTGAGATAAGATAATCCGTTACCAGAACGGTGTAGCTTACTTTAATTATGGTACGGTAGCATCAGAGTTTGAATTTTATAATTTATTCTTTCTTCTTTCTTAAACCTATAGGTCCTCAGTAAATCATTGTTCCATCAGTGTCACCAGTGTAGATTATCATTGAATCATAGCTTTGTTTTTTATAGGTTTCGATAAAAAAATATTCATTTAGCTCCTTTTGTTTAGGTATTAAATGGTTTCGTGAACGTTTATTAAAATTAATCGATGAACTATTTGTCCTTGATGTTCGTCATTATTGTTCTACAATGTTGCATCCAAAATACCGGTTATTAAAGAATTGTACAAAAGAAGAACGTTCACAATGCCACAAATATGTTCGTGAACAATTAAAGATAATGCGTAGTACTCCTTCAACTACCGACACATATAAACAAACAGCTGATCCACCATCAAAAAAATTCAAAACGGCTGATACATTATTTGCTCGATTTGAAGATGATTGTTCACGTGACACTTCAGATGGCAAAGCTGAATCAAATGAATATGAAAGTGATGAATATGAAATAAATATCAAGCAATCCGATGAGTTGGACAGATATTTAGTGATGCAAATCGACAAGTCATCAGTTACAAACAATCCATTAGATTTTTGGAAAACTGTATCTGAAAAATTTCCATTGTTATCTAAACTTGCCAAACGGATTCATTCAATACCAGCAACGTCAACGGGCGTAGAGCGCCAATTTTCAAGTGCTGGTTTGATCATAAACCAGCGAAGAACAAATATCAACCCTGAACAAGTGGACAATATTCTTTTAATACGTTCATTACAAAAATTGTAATGAACAGGTGATAGTCAATTTTCTTATTTTTTCTTATTATGATCCATTGTTTTTCTAAATACTTACTAAGTATTACTTAGTAAATATTACTTTTACCTCTTCTTGTGTGCTGATTTCTTTTTTTTGTGATAATTTTCACTGTTTCTTTTGTTGCTAACGTATACGTAGTTTTTTTTATATAACTAGTTTCAGTGAAACCTTCTTTTGAAATGGTGTAAATAAAACATTATTACTGAATATGAAAACGACTATGTAGTTTTTGGAAAATCATCAATTCTTATAATAGGTACACACAGTTATAAGCCCTGCCGGGCGCCCTGCCCTGCCCTAAGTGCAGGGCAGGGCAAAGAGTTTTTTTATGAATCATCTGCAGGGCAGGGCAGGGCCGGGCTCTGCAGGGCACAGGGCAGGGCAGGGCGTCACAAAAGTGCCCTGTGACGGTCTCTGGTGTATGCTTGTATGATAAGATATCAAAGTCGATCTTTCTCAATATGTGGCGAAGCTCTTGCCGAAATATATGTGAACATGAAAATATAAGAAAAAAAAACATTCATATGTTAATATTTCGTCCGATGATCATCATAGATCATTATTATTGTACGAAGATACTAGTATTTGTCTCCATTCTTATAATGTATTGTGTCTACTAAATGTAGCAGTAAGTACTCTTCACACTCTGTGTCAGAGTTGTGATTGATGTGGTAACTGTTGATTCTTCGTCAAGTACTACAAGAGAAAGAAATCTGAAAGAGTAGTACTATAGGAAAAACAAAAGATCTCAAAATATCCATGTATCCGATACCCACAACAAGAGAAAGTTTCTCCCAAGTATGTCATGAACTTGCCAGTGAAATTCTTCAGATTTGTCTGATTTTTACAACAAGAGCAGAAGAAGGTGTGCTGAAAGCGATATGATCGCTTGACTACAATGTAACAGGTTTCTTTCCAAAGTTATTTNAGGCATGTCGAACACTTAGCAACACCCACTACATCAACCATCTCCACCGCATCCACACCCAAACCCACAACCCCGCAGCCTCCGTGCATCTGAATGTATATTTTGCCTGTTTATTTTTGTGATCTTTGAAACTTTTTCATTCGTGTGCAACGTTTTTTTGCGTTTATCTATTCAAAACGTCGTTTCCTCAGAAGTACCATGGGCAGTACCCTATGTTATTGCCACTCGTTGTATTGTTCTGACCTGTATCATCTTTCTCAGCTGTGGTAACATACTTCGAGTCGCCGGTATCCACAGCGAACTTATCATTTTGTGCCTTTGCTATGTCATCTTGATTGATGAGACCCTCACCCATATTTGATGACAGTTGTAAAAGGTACGGCTGTTGGTACAAATGATATCGGATTGTCGCCTTCGTTCCAACCGATGGCTGATATCCTTGAATAATGATAAAGTGGTTGGTGCTCAGTGTTCGATACTGATAACTATTCCCACACCAACTGTAGAAGTGCGGTTCAGCACGAATCCAGCGATTGGGATTATTTATGTCCTGATATTGGAGTTTTAAATACACATCACTATCCTGTGCTTTGAGCCAAAGATCTTGCCCAGACCGATTGATGAAATAGACTGGAATAAAGCAATCATCAGTCTGATGATCAAAATCTGCAATCAGATATAACTTTTTCTCGGTAGCAGCAGCACGAATGTAAGATGGCAACTCGCAGATAACTTGTTCTTCATAAGGCATGTCGAACACTTGTCAAATTGTGAAGGTATATGCAGGCACGAGAGAGATACTGATAGCAATATATGTCAACATGAATCATGCACAAGAGAAATTCGAGAAACAAAGGTGGATCATGTTACAAATGGTGGAGGTGGCAAAGAGGAATTAAAGAACGATAAAAAATACTACGTCTTCGTTTTAATGAAATATTTTCATGATGCATATGCATCAATACTTTCACTTGAAGTACACTCTACTTCTTTCAACTAAATTCGAATAATCGCTGACTATTATCGATCATTTCTCACAATGAGCACTAGTGATATAATCATGTGAGAATGCAACATTTCTAATCAATATTAGATCATTGGAATCGAACATAATAGGTATTTTTGAAAAAAAAAGTGCTTAGGAATGATGCACTCTCACATCATCAATCTATCACTTTCCTATTCCCCTTACTACAGACTGTATTATTGACTGATTTTGATTTTTACCGATTGGTATTGAAATTGTATACAGTTTTGAATGCGAATACTGAAGTGTTGATGTGTGTGTGGATATAATTATTTGCTTCTTCTGCTCCCACACCTACACACATCGCTGAAATTGGTTTGTCTTTCGATACATCGGTGTCGTTGAAGGAAATATAGTTGTCGTAGCGCTACTGCACGAACTGACTTTTTAATTTTGAATCGTAAACGAGCATTTAGGCACAAATTTTTCCATGATGCAGTTTTTTTTTTAAATTCATTATACAGTTCTTGTTCCGTTGATTAACTAAGAGTAAGGAAATTTACACGGCAGTGATGATTTTTCGGTTAAAATCGTATATAACGTTGGTGGGACAGAACTAAAGTAGAGTTTTACCAGTCGACGCTGATTTTGTCAATCGAACTAAATACCAGAGTATCTCTTCAGGTCTTCAGTTGCTTTCAAGTTCATACCTTGAACATATGTAGGAAACTATGGGTGTAATTTAATCCTAACAGAATTCGTGCGCATGGATTCTTGGGGAAATATGCTCACAATACCAGTTCAAAAATAAAAAAATGTCTCAAGAGGCTTTCCCATTCGATCTGTTTACCGCATCGTTTTCTGACATAAAGACGTCAAATGCTTGCAGCGCGTGTTGTCTAGAAGGAAAAAAAGTAGAATAAAGCACTGAGATCACTGTTTTTATCCAGCGCCTATGGCATCGAATAATAGCTCCAGCATCGGAGAATAGTTTCAAACGTTGTCGCCGTGATATTCGAAATCAGTTTATTAGATTCTACCGGATAAAATTTGTTTTCATTCAATTACAGACAAACAAGCTTTGACCATTCCTCAGAAGAATATAGGAGTCAAAATAGCGACTTACATATTTATCGAAACCAGCTCTTAAAATATCAACCAACGCAGGCAGTGGGTTGGTTTTAAACAAAGAGAGCAGTTAATATTATATTCGAAAGTAACTATGTCTCGAGTTTACCGAAATATGAATACTCTTTGTGTTTAACTATCGATTTCTACTAGTCATGTTATCATCATCCCATTGAAACAGCACATGAGATTTTGCATACACTATATGAAAAACAAGAGAATTTGAATTTTCGAAAGTTATTGTAAGGTCTCATTTTGAATTCTAATACAAAAAGCAGCATATACGGAGGTGATGCACTATGATTTTATGCGCCCTTCGTCTTATATTCGTAAAGAAAAGAACAGCAAGAGACAACTGAGTAACAATGATATTTTGGTCTCAACAGTCCTCAATCAATTTTTGTTTTTCAACTGTGCATTTCGTGCGAGTAATTTGAAGATAGTTTGTATCATATGATCTGTGATTTGATTGTCCAGCAGGTCGAGTGTGATTAGAGTCTGTAAGAAAAAATTCTAATAAATACGAGTCAGATGAACAAATAATGGAAGTCACCATATTTTCTAGCAATGATGCAGCAAAATGTTGTGCTCCTACGTCTCCAATGTGATTGTCATGAAGGAATAATGTAGTCAACGTCTGTGTGAAAAAGAGAAGATGAACATTAAATGATGAAGAGAAAGTGATATTTACTCTGTTGCTTCGTAATGCATCACCCAGATCTTGTGCTCCTAGCGCTCCAATCTGATTATCCCATAGATCAACTGTAGTTAGTGTCTGTGCAAAAAATGAAAACAAATATCAGAGATATCATGAGAGAAAATGGGTTACTGTGTTGCTTCGTAATACGTCAGCTATATGTGTTGCCCCTTTGTCTCCGATTTGATTACGTCCAAGATAGAGTGCTGTCAGTGTCTATATGAAAACGTGAAGACTGGTACATGACAACTAAGAAAAGAATGAGAATTACCGTGTTGTTTCGTAATACACCAGCGAGATACTGTGCTCCTTCACTAGCAATACGATTATTCCAAACATCCATCATAGTGAGCACCTGTGTTATTTCAAATTAAAATTAGCTAGGAGAGATATGGAGAGAGACTGAGGATTACCGTGTTGCCTCTTAACGCATTAGCCACATATTGCGCACCTGTGGGTCCGATTTTATTACTTCCAAGATAGAGTGTATTGAGTGTCTGTAAAAATGGAAAAATGGATATAGGATGGATGACGAGAAAATCAGAGTCACCGTATTGTCTTGTAACGAATCTGCCAAATATTTCATCCCTTCGTCTGAAATTTTATTGTCTTGAAGGTCGAGTGTGCAAAGTGTCTACGAGTAAAGATGAAGATCAATATGAAACAGATGAAGAGAGAATGAGAGTTACTATGTTGTTCCGTAACGCGTCAGCTAAATATGGTGCCCATTCATCCGAGATTTTATTGTCTCGAAGGTCAAGTGTTGAGAGTGTCTATATAAAAGAATCAACATAGATCAAAAGAAAAGTTTCGTATTGGATTTGGATGTAAATTATGTGCATGGATGTGGAGGAGAAAATCGCACCTACACCCACATCCAAACCCACACTCTGTTTTCGCTATTCGCGTAAATACGCTTTCGTTGTTACAATTTGTTCGCAAAAAGAAATTTTGCCCATTGTGCTTTTTGCTAATTTACTCGTTCGCTGATGTTTTATTTCGCCGAAATGTTTTTCGCTGTTCTTTATTCGTCCAAATTCTTCGCTGAAAACCGTTTCGCTGATTGGCATCTTCCCCAGTGAAAGCAGTAAAATGAACCCTTCTCTTTCATATAGTTTCACAGGATAGTGAAAAAGCATCAATTTTTAAAAGCAAAAGCCTTAGTCTGATGTATTTTATAAGTTAAAAGTATTTACTAACATTTAAATAAATGCCTTATAACACTTCAAAAATGTTGGAACCCAAATATTAACTTGTGGAAATTTTCAACCATAAGATCTGATCGAAAGAATCTCTTGAGAAAACAAACGTTGAACTGATGCAGACTCAACAGAAACATTCTATTTTTCTAGTCAGCTTATCAACAACTGGATATGGAACCGGTTTTTATTCTATCAAATCACTTGTTAAATTTTCTTTTTGTAGAAAGTATCGATTTTTTTCTGAGATTTATTTTGATATTTGCTTATCAAATTTGGTATTTTCGAATGAATGGCTCAGTCAAACATTCGACTCAGTGATATTCAGTTTTCATGTCCGAGGCAAGTCAGACTCTTTAAAAAAATGTGATTCAACTTTATGTCGGAAGTTTGACTTGATCGGTCAGTGATAATCATATGTATGCGAAGAGACTCATGATGTGGATTTGATGTTTATCGTGAAGGAGAAGACACCAACACCCTCCGTTAAAAATCCCTATAGTATCAGAGCATCCGGTTAGAACGCCACCAAGATATGAATGCTTAATAAAACACAGCATGCTAACTCAACCAGAGGTCAGGTTTGGTTGTGACCGAGAAACTGTCGAATTTTGTCAAGTTTGAAATTGCCCTCGATATTACTGTTCACTATTATTTATCAAACACTTGGGACTTAATCTAGTCCTTCTCCGTACGTCCCGAGAAAACTCGTCTACCACAATATACGAGTTGTTCTTGTCATCATTTATTGGTTAACGACCTCAAATTTTTAACTAATTCTCCGATATCGGATGGGATCAATATTCGAGTGGCATCGAATTGGGTCGGACTTGGGTACGATAAATCCAACTAGTGCACTATTCTAGCATTTAGGTACTTAAATATGAGAATGTTTAACACGCTATACAAAGATAAGTTCATAAAGATGTAAGAAAATAGGTAAAATATGAAACAAACCATTTCATCACAAAATTTCGAAACAATAATGGCGTTCAATGTTTCTTTCAGCTACTAATTCGAAGATTTTCAACAGTAGACAAATACTGCGACTATCTTACTGTCGAAAAACTTTTCGACTCAAAGACTAGGAAAAATCTGGTGATTGTCAATGCACTCTGACCTTTCGTTATGTTAATTCTGGTACGGAAATGAATCTCGATGATAGCCCAGATTAAATAGAAGGGGCTGTTACAGAAACTAATGAGAATAAAAATGCTGATGAGAATAGAAATCAATATTTTCTTTTTTGAGAAAGAGTATGACACATGCCTTTTCTGCAGTGGCATTAATCTTTTTATTTTCCCAATTGCTTTTCAGGTAGTGGACACCATCCACTGATGACGCTTGACATTTTATTAAGATTCCGAACTTGGCAGTAGGTTTTGAAGTCGTAAAGGCTGTGCTTGGAAATGATTTTATAAAATAATCACAAGTAACAAGTCGATGTTTGTGATCTAGCCAGAATGATGTGCGAAAGGGAGCAACGATGAAGTCTGGACTAGGGTTGCCCGCCGTTCTCCATTTTTTATAGTCGAAGAAGAACTCAAATTCACACAGTAGAGGTAGTTTAGTTCGAATGAATCGTTCCCAAAGCAAACCATCAAATACAGCCTCGGACCATGATGTAGAGAAATCCAAATTAAGATGAACAAGTGAAGGTAATTGGGACAGAAGTAATTGGACCTCTTCGCTCTTCGACAAAAACATACCCATCGTCAGATATGCCAGTTGTGGATAACACGCGCTTGCAAACATTGATAAGAGTGTCTCATCAATGTTATACATAGGGCAATATTCGATTGCGAGCGTTCGTAAATGAGGTAAGTGACGAAAAATGATGTGATATTCGCCATAGCCACAACTGCTAATGCTCAAATTCTGTATTATGCATTGAGCTGGCCATGTTATATGTTCGATTATGTAATCAATATTATTTAAATGCAGGCTTAGAAGATTAGGCTGAACGATAACTGCTGAAATAATTGCCAGTGCTCTGCTATTTTGCTTGTCACGCGACTCGTCTGAAGACAAGGTCAGTGTAGGCTGTAATAATCGACGTATTTCACCATCTCGCTTTTGGAAAAACGTTAATGAGCGAATTTGAATGAAACGGTGAATGTCGACGACTGAAAAAAACGTATGTATTTCACCTGATGTCTTCCTATCGTCGTCTGAGAAAGTCAGTGAAATGACATTTTCTGGCCTAACGACACGGGAAAGGAATTTAAAGTCAGACTTCGGCATCGAAGTGAAGTTAAGCTTAAAGCGATTATAAGCGCTGACAATGCCATAAAGTTGTGTACAAATGTATCGAACTGAACAAAGAATTGTTTTCACATCAAGATAGTCGAAAACACGATGAAGAAGCTCAATGGGTACGGTGAGAAGAGATATGTTACTCATTGACGTGTGTTGCTATTAAATGCATCCAACATAAAGGAGAACGAACGAAAAAATATTTCTTTTCTATCACCAACGATATGATATATCTCACTTCCTCATAATTGTGCAACGTTATAGACAAGAGCGACTCTGATTCATTTCTATTTGCCTCTTTCTTTTTGTTAATAGATACTCACTCGACATGAAATATCTCTGCAAAAAAAGCAAACGCTTTAGAGGTATATTTCGATAACAACACCAATATCTACATTATCGACCATTAAGTAACGGGGAATTCGATATCAGGTATCATGTTTCAATGTAAATGCTTTACTCGCACAATCGATAAAAAAGCTTGTTAGCGCAGCCCCTTTGGGGCTAAAATGTGAAACTCACATATGTTCTTCAGCTTCGTTATATTAATACAAAATACGGAAGGTGTAAAATCAAGAATTTTTTATTTTTCATTTTCTGACGGGCGCTGTATTTTTCGTTTTCATTGTTACTATTCACTCATTATTTTTTTTTCGTAGTTTTTTTGCATTATTTTTTTTAATTTAATTCTATTATCATTGCAATCATTTATTCAACCGGTAAATATGCCTCTTACACGTATACATTTAACCTACAGCAAGTATCAATGAACTATTATATATCTCGATCAAGTCACAACACTAGCACCGAGTGAGTTTTTTTCAAATTAATAACTTGATCAATCGATGATTTCTTATGATCGTTGACGTCTTAAATGGGTGTGGGTGTGGGTGTGTGGGGTGTGAATGTGGGTGGCTGCGTGTGTATGGGTGTGGGTGTGGGTATGCAGGAGAGATCCACACCCACACCGCCTCCCACTCTCTTCAAAATCGATTTTCAATGCCGTGCATGAGATTTTACATGAAATTTTTCCAAGACGTTCAACTAATGAAAGTAAAATAGTAAACGAATTTTTACAGCTCTCAACCTCATCGTTTAGAAGATTTTCACGAATCATTCTGGTAAATAGGATTTTCACATGTACGAATACTTGTTCAATGCAGCCATTGAACTACTCTCATTTCAAAGAAGATTCCTTACAACTTCGGATGAGAGAAAGAGTTCTTTAATTCCTATTTTATTTCACTTTTGTGGTCCTCTAAATTTTAAAGTTACAAAAATCTTACGGTAATGTTTTTTAGCAAGCCTGTGGTTGCCTTGATACTGTAGATTGAATAAAAACTTCCTTTTCGTCATCCGAAAAAGAATACATCTATCTGTCAAGCTCAGAAGAGTTGCAATTTACAAAGAACAAATATTATTGAAAAATTTGTGCAAAGCTCAATGTTGAGGAAAAGGCGCGGACATTTTTTTATATAATTATTTGAAAAACTTTCTGACATCTAATATACTTATATTAAATATCAATGATAAATTCTTTAGCTACACGTTGGATTCTGATAAGAATACCTCACTGCAATAAGCGATGCTACGTAGTTTTCCTTTGGAAATGGTATTGGCAATGCTGATAAAGGGCTTTAGAAACTCATCATGATTTCTACAGAACTCTTTTAAAATTAGAAGTCATTCTAATGAATTTTAGAGCTAGACATATTCCAAAAAAGTGTCTTTTTAGCAAAGCCAATTTTTTTAATGGAAAGCCTTAAATTTTCCATCAACTGCTATCGTCGAGTTTTTCGATGTGGCATTTAAAATGTTAGCTATCTAACTAAATTTTAGAGCGGTTGAGAATCAAAGAGATTCTTCTAGTCGTACTTTGTAACATCGTAAGGAGCTTAGCTTATAAATATGTTCTCGGAAAATTAATATCGGAAAACGATTTTTTTTTATTATTTAGATAGTTGATTTTCTAAATTAATTGCCAGGTAATATTGATGATTCGTCCAACTGACTCTTGTCTTGCGTACTGATCGTCTCATTTCCGTATAATTCCTTGTAGAATTGTGAAGAACGACGACTGTTTTATTCTCGAGCTTAAAACAAGTATTTATTACGATTCATAAACGTTCGAAATTAAGTTAGCTGACCATATTCTTAAGTATATACTCCTCCGTGCATATTATTAATATTATAATCGATAGAAAAAAAGAAGAACAGAATCATATGTAGCAAACCAGTAGAATTTGTTCTTAAATTTCATTCGTAACTTTCAATTAAATCTTATAATTCGTTAAACAAAACGAAACATATCATCAAAACAATTATAACTTGTTTGGCCGAACTGTTTTCTAAGCATATTATCTTTCTAGCTTTCCATATTACGATGTTTACTAAAAATACATCTTTATTAATATATCGCACTTTAACCCTGTATTATCATAAAAACTACTGATGATTAATATATATACGTAAATATCTCAAACAACTGGCAGATACTCCATTATTCTTCATGTGTACTGATTCAACTTGTGTACATTTCTAACAACATACGTATATCTTGTTCGACGTAATATTCTATCAAATTTTTATCTACCCTATCATCATCTGATAAATTTTTCTTTTTACTAAGTGTCAATTGACAAGCGTTGGATGGCAATAGATATAAATACTCGCTAGTTTTTCCTAACATTATTTCTATCATTTTTAACCATGAAGCTAACAGGTATATTGATCATCGCTTTCTTTCTTGGCCTGTTTTTAACTGTTGTCTTATCGGATATGGAAAATAATGATGTCGATTTCATCGATGACAATCATCTTATGTTCAAACGAGGTATATTTCATCGTCGTCGTGATAATCAATCACAATCACCAGGTCAATGTGTCCCATGTAAATTTGGTATTGGACATTGTTGTCATCCAAATATTTGTGTTAAAAAACATTTACGGCCAGACAAATGTCTTCGTGTAAAGGGTGGCTGAAATTTTATTTTGTGATTTATTTTTGTTTTACGAATAAAAATAAAAACATGTTTGCTGTGATTAATTCATTTAATTAAACCAAAAAGAACAAAGTCATAGACTTAAAAGTCGGATCTTATTTCGTTGAAACCGTTTTTTTAATTAGTAAAAGAAGAAATCTTTAGAGAACATAATACATTTTTAAAGTAGGTTTTTCTTGTGCCTACCTTATTTTCAATATGAAATTGTTTTGATGCTTTCATTAATATTGGTACATCACCATAATTAAATTCACTTTCAGGGGTATTTAAATTTGGTTCAATAACTTTACCTGTCATATGAATTTTTTGTTCGTATTGTCCAAGAACTATTAAGCCAAATTTAATATCGAATTTAATTAATTCAAGTGGTTGAAAAATTGAGTATGAGACTGCTATGAAGTGCATGAGAATTTATTCAAAATTCAATTTTTTATTTCAAGCTTTCGATGAATATCTTTCATCATCGTCAGGAAACAATATACAAATAGAGAGATTGGAACATTTTATACATACAAGATAAAAGAAATAAATAGTTACAAGAAAGCAAAGAGACAAAATAAAATTAAAAAACAAACTTTCTCCTTCAATTAGTGTAATTATATATATTCGCGAATATATATGTTCGTAGAACATTTCTTTTGGCACATTTACTGTCCTTTTTAGGACATTGTTGTTGTTATTGTGGTTGAGTTGTGATTATCTGTCGTTGTAGTTGGTGGGAAAAGGTTGAGATGAAACCATGAGTTATGTGTGTTAGTTCTATTATTTCGTGAGTTATTGGAGATTTAATCTTTAGTTTGGTAGTATTATTATTATTGAATATTATTATTATCAATTAACGTTATTTATTTATTTATTTATTGTTATGTTATAGATTTATTATTATGTTTAGGCATATATTTTAAGTTTATGTTTAACATCGTTTAGTGCCTCTCCGAAGCTCTAGTGTGTGAAGATGCTGTCTTTAATGATTCGTCTCTTCCAATCAGGTTCATATGATAAGATTTTTACATTACTGAAATCAAATCAGTGTTGTTTTTGAAGAACATATTGTGCTACATTTGAATTTTTATTTTGTTTCTTTTGTCTTTTTGGTGCTCTTTCATCCGTATATTTTTTGTCTCACGGTTTGTTTCGCTATAGTAGCTCATTTTACAATCTTTACATGATATTTTATATACTAATTTTTTAGATTTACTATTTTCATCAGTTCCTTTTTGTTTACTTAGGAATACCTGTTTTAGTATGTTAGTTTTTTTGAATGCGATATTTATGTTAATAGTTTTTACATATTTTCTCCAAATCTTTTTTATTCTTTCAGCTAGTAGTACTATGGATTCTTGCCCATAATACGATAGAATTAAAAAGACTTTCTTTTTTATGAAGTTTTTGTTATTAGTATTATTATTATTGGCATTATTATTATTTAGTTGTTTTTGTTTTATTTTCTTTAGAAACGATCTTTCCTTCCTTCAATCCTCTATTGATCAGATGGTTTGGATATCCATTACCATGTAGTGTGTGTTTAAGTTCTTGCAATTCTATATCAGAATATTTTTCCGAATAGCACATCAGTAGTATGCGAATAGTTAATGACCTTATGAGGCTCAATTTATATTTTCTACACTGATTGCTTTCATAGAGTAAGTATAGATTTGTGTTGGTTGGTTTCTTATATATTGTTGTATCGTATTTATTGTTATGTATATCTCTGATCACAAGAACATTTAAGAATGAAATTTGATTATTTTTTTCTTTTTCAATGGTAAAGTTGATATTCTTGCGCCATTTATTAATCTTTTCAAGTACATACTCGGCATTTTGTTTTTCATTGAATATATAGAATTCGTTGTCTACGTATCTGAACCACGTTTGTGGCTTGTTTTTTCGAAAAACGGTTTAATTTTTTCTCAAGGTTAGACATGAAAATGTCTGCAAGTATGGGTACGAGTGGGGACCCCATAGCTACGCCATCGTATTGGATATAGTACTCATTCATAAATCTGAACGGAACATCGCAAACTGCAATTTGCAGAAGTTTTTTAATTCTTGTTTTTTTAAAAGGTGTATTATTTATTGTTTTTGATTTTTCCCTATTGTTTATTACTATCTCAATAGCTTCCTTCACAGGAACATTAGTATAGAGTGCATCTACATCGAAGCTGCACATTCTTTGCTCTTTTTCGTATTTTATCTGTTTTACGAATTCGAAGGACTCTTTTATATATGAATATGGTTTTTTATTTTGATTTGTTTTTATTAAGGATGCTAGGTACTTTGATAGCTCGTAATTATAGCTTCCTATTGATGATATTATTAGTCGCAGGGGATATCCTTGTTTATATATCTTTGGTTGTCCCTATATATATGATAGGCTAGAAGATGTTGAACGCATTTTGTGAAATAATTCTTTTTTTATGATATTTTTATTATATAATTCTCTGAGGTATTTATTCATACAGTGCGGGCCGTAAAAAGCATGTACTTTTTTGTTTTTACGCATAAATGAGTAAAAAGGATAGTCTGAAGATTTTCTTTCATATCAGAGTTTGTAGAGAATTTTTCGCTGATCATTTNTGACACGGTTCGATGATTCTTCTTCCTTCTCTGTCTGTTCTCTTGCCGTTGTTCTAATATATATATCTCCTGTCTCTCTTCTATCTCTCTCCTATATATATGTGTGTTATGTATGAAGTTGTTACACTCTGGATATGTGAAGAAGCGAATAAACATCATTGCCGAGAGTGGCGGTAAGCTACTCCACCTCTATCCAGTTTGTCATTACGTATCAATCCAGTCATGGCCATGTATTGATCGTTACAAGTATGATATATTTTATTGTTTTCATCGATTGAAGACGCTTTTACTCTCAGACGGCTAGGTTTTCTTAATCGTAACACAGAATTCAGGGTATAATGCGAGATAAATGCATACAAACGCGTTGCAAATGAGTTATTGAGACACATCAGTACGCGTTTAGTAGCTTTTTCAGCACTCTTTTGCGTAAAAACGCGTCAGAATGTCGCTGTTTGCAACAATAGCGCGTTTATCTGCGTCGAAAGTGTGTTTTTCAATTGCAAAGACACAAGAGCAAAATTGATTTCGTGAAAAGCGTGCTGGTGGTGACATATAAGAAAACAATATTGTTTTAATGCTGCTTTCAAATGAATGTTCTGTACATTTCAAACTTTGATACTTATTCTCATTTATTTCTACTTCACAGATTAACTAAGTCTTCATGAGTTTGTATGACGGACATAAGCATGATGAGATTTCTGATATGCAACTATTTGTTCTTCTTTGTTATGTTTCATACAACGCTAGCCACTGATATTTTAAATCGCAGATTATCAAGAATAGTTCTTTTAAGAATTCGAAATGCAATAAGACTTTAATACGTCGTCTAAATCACTTACTATCTAATATACATACTTTTTTGAACGAAAAACACGCAGTTCAGTTTACTGTTCGAGATCTAGTCACGCCCCATGTAAACACCAGACGCAGGATATATGCGTTTGCACGCTGTTAAAATCGATTTTCAACCGCGTTTGAATGCGGCTGCAGATAAAATCGCGTCTAGACGCGGTCATAAGAAATTTTGAATCGCGGTTGGACGCGTTTTTTTTTATGAAACCGCATGCAAACGCGCTTCCATATAAATACCAATCACAAGATAAGCGCGTTCAAACGCGGTTTTGTTATAAACTGCGACTAGACGCAATTTTAGATAAAAGGCATCTAAATTCAATTAAAAAAACATTCTTAACCGCGTCCAGGAGTGTTTTATGCTACAACTGCATTTTGATGCGGCTGGAGCATTTTCGGTGATTGCGTCCAGACTCGTTTGCACTCCGGGAAATATTCATCAAATGTCTAGTAAATGTGTTCAGACGCTGTTCTATCTTGAAAGAGTAGGAATACAAAAAATATTGTGTTGAAGGCAGAATTAAGAATAAAAGCCATCGAAACACATTTGAAAATTTTTTTCAACAACTGGACGGATATGTATCTTTCACGTGAAACACACATAATTCAGCTAGAATTCACCGATGGTATGTGTCTGACTCATTGAAATTTTATTCAATATTTTAAAGATAAGAAGCTTTTTCAACACGCATGGAAATGAAGAAAACCCAATCATGCAAAAAATAGAAATGAAATATAGGCTATTGAACAATTTTTATAGATAGTAGATGAAATTACTTATACCGATCTGCCAGCATACCCATGATTTTCGGCCAATCTTACGAATAACACTGGTTAAACTGTATAATTAATAAGTGATTATTATAATTCAACTATATAGTACAAAACAGTTTTAATTGTAGTGTTTTGAATAAAATTATCCGCGATATTACAGTCGTAATGTTATTTTTAAAAATCTTTTTATATTTAGTATGATTAGAAGATGACAAAAAATATGCAATTGCATTTTAAACTGTTAAATCTATCAGAAAAAAATTAAACAGAGCGTTGAGTATTTTGCATAGGTAGAAGTAAATTTCACTGCGCTGATGAATTTAAGTAACAGAGCGAAGATTCAAATAGATTTAGTCGTGAACGAGAAAACATTTCGAGCTAGTATAGCTCAGTGGTGTATATGCACGACTTCTGATCGGGGGTTCACTTGTTCAATTCTGACTTTCATCCCTTAAGGTAAAAATTCAACTCATTCGCCAAAGTAGGCTCCATTTCAATTGGAAAGCGTTTGAACGCGGTTATTACAACCACGTCTAGACGCAAGAATTGTTTCACTGGAGCCGCATTTCGAAACGAGATCTCGTCCAAACGCGACCCAAAGTACGAACGCGTTCAGATGCGTTTCTGAAATAGATCGCGACTAGACGCAAGAAATGTTTCACTGGGGATGCGGTTCTTGCGTTTTTCCTTTGCATTTCACACGCAACGAATCGCGTTTCAGACGCGTTTTTAAGTCAAAAAATATTTACATGGGGCATACTTTGACGAAGTAGTCTGCATTATTGATGGCACCATATGCGCTCGCAGCTAGAAACGCGTTCAAATGCAACTTATCTATGCAAAACGAGAACAGGAACTGCATTTACACGTGAACCCTAACCCAAAAGTATTAGCTGTGTATAGAGTAAGCGTATTTGGATGCAACAGTAAAGCCAATCACGTTGAAACGCGTTTAACTTAATATTATTTTCAGTTATGAACGCATTCAGATGCAAAAACGAAACTGTTCGCGTTGAAACGAGTTCAAAAGCTAATTGGAACCAGTCGTAATGCGTTTTAATCACGAAACGCGTCTAAAGGCATGCAAGAATTTCCAACGCGTTCAGACACCCATAGAGTAAACGCATTTCAGTGCGTTTGAGAGCTGCTTCAATCCCAGATGCACTTGAACTGGTCAAACATGCTGTTTATGGTTATATGGGAAGGAAAAAATGACAGGTAGCTTTTTCAAGATTTGAATAGTAACTTATGCACTTTAATTAACGACCAGTTTTTTGGTAGGAAAAATTGATCGCAGCTGCTGAATTAATTGAAAAAACTGAGCCACAAAAAAGGTCAGATTTTAGCATCTTTAGAGAAAAACGCCATTTTTGTGTACTCAAAAAGTGAGTACACTCTAGAATCGGTCAGTGTGTCCGGCCGTCCGTCCGGCCGTTAACACGATAACTTTTGAAAGGAGAGTCCGATCNGCATGGCGTCTTGAAAGAGCAATAAAGTTGGTACAATCTGATATTGAAATGAACGAATGTAAATGATCAATGTTTTTCTTTCTTTTCAATCAAAAAAATGAAAATCATTACAATTACATAACTTACATTTATCCATTTTTTTTACGAAATTTAAGATAAATATTCAGTCTCTTATTTTAGTATTATCTGTAAGACATATCTAAAACTATCAGATCGCTTTTGTGTTAATTAGCATAACGAAGATTTTTTTGTAGAACTCACAAACTCAGGACGAGAAATCTCGAACTCGGATACTGTAGGACATCATGTGTAATCCGATAAATTTTGACGCAGAATCTGGTAATTTCCGATAGAATCCCTGTCGAAAATTGTTGGAATCTTTGGTATCGAATTACGATAGAAAGTTGTGAGGTATCAATTATGATGGGATCCTGTGAAAATTTATATTTGAACATCAGATCTTGTGTGAATCCCCACCCGTTCTCATCCCTCTCCACCGATTTTCTTCCGATCATGAAACTAGCTGCAAATTAACACCTTAAATCTATTTTATTTTAACATTTAATTAAATTCAATTATTGAATTATAAATTTGAAATAATAGTAAAATATAAATAAAATACAACAAAAAGTTTGCTAGCGCAGCCTCTTTGGGACTAAAATGTGGAACTCACGTATCTACTTAGGCTTCACTATACTAACACAACAAACACAATGTGTGAAACCTCTACAAGATGATCGTTCTTTTTCCATGATGATCGATTATGAGCAAGGTGTGGACGGGTGTCTGTGTGGGTGTGTGAAGTTTCAAATTAGTCATTTATCTTGTCATATCTAGACTCACATTCACACCATAGACATGAAATTTCAGAAAGTTACATGTTTCATTTTGGATGAGAAAATTTTCAGTTGTATCAAAACTATAAGTTTCGAACGGTATTTTATTCAATTTTCTTATACACGGTGTTTCACCAAGTCATTCTCATTTATGAAGGAATTAATTTGGATGAATTAATGAAAAGAGAAAGTGTGATTCAATGACGAACAATATTCGGTTGAACCGTTGGAGAATTTCTTTTCTTCTATAATTTTAGTTCAAAATATTCACTTTTGTTGTTCTCGGATGTAGATGAGTCGATTCAAATCAATTTAATTATTCTCAACAATGATTGTTTTCGTTGTATCTTTTCCAATAAATTGTTCAAGTTTTTGTTAGATTNTCTATCTATGAACACGAAATTTTGTCAGCATACTTTACGAACTAAATACTGGATGTAGACGACTCGTATGTGACTATGAACAGTCCTTATCATATTCTAATCAAAATACCTAAGTGTATTTGTTATTGTCCTAATGAAAGAATCTATACAAAAAACAAAATTAAAACTGCACGATTTTCTTTTCAGATGACAGCATATCAATCAATATATGTGAAGGCCTTATTTGAAATGCTGAAGTCGATTATTAATAATTTCTGAACGAAACAATATGAAATATTTTTTCAACAAGAAATATCTTATCTGTTTCGTTATTTGGTGGAAATTTAGTTCATCATTCAAGCATCGTAACAACTGAAAACTGATGAATCGTTTGATTTATTTATACTTCAATACAGAATATTGTGCTTTAAGCAAAAAAAAATATTATTCTTAAAAGAGAACTTTAGTCTAAATTCTATATAGGAGTCTCGGATTTTCTGTTAATGAACTCGCCATAAGTAAATTAATACAAATACATCTGTAATGCCGCTCGTCTATACTAAAGAACAGGATCTTTTGGAACACAGAAATGATATGAAATTTGTTAAATTAATTATGTTTCTTGCAAAATCATTTAAAAACAACAAACAAAGCATAATGACTTTTTATATTCATGTTTGGTCAACTGTAATATTTTAATAGAAGCCTGCCATGTGTTCTTCACCTACAAGCATACTATATTTAACAAAACAATTATCTTGTCAGAAGTTTTTAACGAAACACATAACAAATTCAAAGGAAATCGTTCATTGATAAATTTTATTCTGACTGTTCCACTCTTAATGATCCTATAGATAATGATTTACTAGACTGCAATAGATATATGATAATAAAATGAATACAAATCAGATGCTATTGAATCTTTCTTCTATCCATTACATTCAATGATAAGAGAAGTTTAAACTTGATTTTTACATTTAATGAAACTTTTATGCTTTTGAACGTTGTCAATCTTGACAGTTCGGCCTCGTAAAATTTACACTAACCCTGTCAATAATCATGCGGAAATTTATCAGATATATTCATCATATATCTAACGTAAGCTTTTTATCTGTAATAAAAACATTACTTTTACAGTTTAAGAGTTTTGGATGAGAGAAATGTTTAGAACGTGTCATAGTAGCTAATCAAAGTTTTCTAATATTAAAAATTATTATTTTTTTGATCACATTTTATTTCTTAACAATCATCATTGTGAGTTGACTCGCACGAACATATTTTTCATTATGTTGAAGCGACCATCGCATACTTTGTACGTTTGTGTTTCTAATGATGATCCAAACATTTTTACTTGTTCTATGGATTTTACATAGTCTATGCATGTAATGACACATTGAAATTCCAAAAGATAATGATGAAGCAAAAAAAATGATATAATTTAAATAATTGATTGTCATCGAGACACATTGATTCAATTCTTTCAACTAGACGTGTACATATACACTTTCTTCTCTCTTTGTTCTATTGATTTGACACGCTCTCTCACTCTCTCTGATAGTATCCGGATCTATAAAAAGAAGAATGATGAATCGAAATAAAACATGTTACATATAATACGAAAAGTGTACCAAACACTTTTATTCAAAACAAATTGCAATTTTATAATGACCGATTCATCATTTGACAATACTTCTGACGCCAGCAGTACAGAAACAAACTCATTTGACATGATCTATACAAAGGATAGATTCGTTTCGGTTCCATTATGTTTAATTGTGGATATGATTGAGAATGCATTCGGGATTCGATCTACAATAACAGCTGCCACTGACACTGAACTAGAAGATACAATCGCAACATCTAGCAATACAGATGATCTAGAAAACGAAAAAGCATCGTCTCAGTTTGAAAATCCACCATCATGCATCATATGTGATCTCGACCACGATTATATCGTTTCAAATCTACTTCATCAAACAGAATCCAGTGATACAGACGATTGGAAAATCGATACTGAATCATTGTGAAGTGATCCTACTTCAACATTAGATGTCTCTTCATCGGCTAAAACAAAATTCTCATTGCCAGACCTTAAAATATTCATAGGTCAACTCAAGGTCTCATTGGCAAACACAAAACATGAAATATCAGAAACGGTATTCGAAACATCACAAGAAGAACCTTCTGAACGTTACTGGGCATGGCGTCTTGAAAGAGCAATAAAGTTGGTACAATCTGATATTGAAATGAACGAATGTAAATGATCAATGTTTTTCTTTCTTTTCAATCAAAAAAATGAAAATCATTACAATTACATAACTTACATTTATCCATTTTTTTTACGAAATTTAAGATAAATATTCAGTCTCTTATTTTAGTATTATCTGTAAGACATATCTAAAACTATCAGATCGCTTTTATGTTAATTAGCATAACGAAGATTTTTTTGTGGAACTCACAAACTCAGGACCAGAAATCTTGAACTCGGATACTGTAGGACATCATGTGTAATCCGATAAATTTTGCTACAGAATCTGGTAATTTCCGATAGAATCCCTGTCGAAAATTGTTGGAATCTTTGGTATGGAATTACGATAGAAAGTTGTGAGGTATCAATTCTGATGGGATCCTGCGAAAATTTATATTTGAACATCAGATCTTGTGTGAATCCCCACCCGTTCTCATCCCTCTCCGCCTATTTTCTTCCGATCATGAAACTAGCTGCAAATTAACATCTTAAATCTATTTTATTTTAACATTTAATTAAATTCAATTGTTGAATTATAAATTTAAAATAATAGTAAAATATAAATAAAATACAACAAAAAGTTTGCTAGCGCACCCTCTTTGGGACTAAAATGTGGAACTCACGTATCTACTTAGGCTTCACTATACTAACACAACAAACACAATGTGTGAAACCTCTACAAGACGATCGTTCTTTTTCCATGATGATCGATTATGAGCAAGGTGTGGACGGGTGTCTGTGTGGGTGTGTGAAGTTTCAAATTAGTCATTTATCTTATCATATCTAGACTCACATCCACACCCTAGACATGAAATTTCAGAAAGTTAAATGTTTCATTTTGGATGAAAAAATTTTCAGTTGTGTCAAAACTATAAGTTTCGAACGGTATTTTATTCAATTTTCTTATACACGGTGTTTCATCAAGTCATTCTCATTTATGAAGGAATTAATTTAGATGAATTAATGAAAAGAGAAAGTGTGATTCAATGATGAACAATATTCGGTTGAACCGTTGAAGAATTTTTTTTCTTCTATAATTTTAGTTCACAAATATTCACTTTTGTTGTTCTCGGATGTAGATGAGTCGATTCAAATCAATTTAATTATTCTCAACAATGATTGTTTTCGTTGTATCTTTTCCAATAAATTGTTCAAGTTTTTGTTAGATTTTCTTTACTTTTTGCCTAAGCTCATCAATATCATCTTCAGTAAAATGTTGTTCTTCTCAAAGACAGTGAATTTCTTTTTTGATTGGTTCAAGTTGTTTCATTATTGTTATTCGTTGTTTGTCGATTAGCTCGATAAGTTCTTGTTGAGCTCTTCTACTGTTTTTTTTTACTTTGCTGATTGTGGTTTTTATCATCGTTCAATTTGATCGAAAAGATCCAATGATAAATAATTTGACTTTCTAACTTTTGAATTGATCAAGAAGTTCATCATGAGATCTCACTATTTCAGTATCGAATTTTAGATTATGTAGGTGGGTGTGGTTGATTTTAATGTTGTTGTCTCCAGACTTTCGACACTCAAACTCAGGCCAATATCCACTCGTAATTACATCCACATCCACATCCTTATGCATTGCCAAATCTAATTAAATAATTAGATTTTCAAAATTGTCCTAGAAAAATAAATGTGATTTAGCCTAATAATAAATAATGACATAAATATTGAGCAAAATCATTGATATTTGTACGAGATTTAACTTGATTTTAATTATCAAGACATTAATCTTGATCTTTCTAAAACAAATTAAAAAATCTAGTGTGATATTGAAATGATGAACTTTATCTTGATTATTGATAATAGCTTGAAAAAACTAATTTAGTTTTCATAAGAAAATCTTGGTAGATAGATTCATAGTAGATTTTTTATCCAGATTGAACAAAATAATTGATTAGATTATATTGTAGAATTTCACAGGATTTGTATAGGCAAAATTATTGAAATACTTTCCTCATAGTTTATTGTGAATAGTGGATTTCATGTAAGGCAAAAGTCATTGAATAAATTCGATTGCAATTATTTTTATAAGAACGACAAAGTTCAAGTCAAGTTGTAGATAACAATATGAATGAAATTTTAGAAAAGTTTTTTTCTATAAAATAAAAAGCAAAACATCAAATAACAAGTTATTGATTGAAATATAAATATTGCGTAATAAGAAAATCAGTATAATTAATTTGTGTAACGTTAAAACAGAGACGGTCATGTAAATCAACTTTGCTTTTTATTGTTTCTTATTTTATTAATTAGACATTATCGAAATATTTCGCATTGATCAATTGAATGAATTGTTCATCGATGAAAAACAATTGTCTTTTTATGTTTATTATCAAAAGAAAAAAAAACAAACAAGAAAATTTATAGACGAAAAGCGAGTAGATAATCATTGTTGATAGTTATTCATGGTTGTGCAGAAAAATATGAAAAGCAAATGAATAATGAAAAAAAAATATTTGAATGATGAAATGTTGTATAATTCAAGTTCTGAAATTGTAATGACAAAACGTATAACTTCAGGATAATTTTAGTAAAAATATAGCAATATAAACTTAATGACGATAATGTGACGATTTATTTTACATCATAAAACAACGAATTTTATTCTTCACAGAATTCTTCACGAATATTGCGATGTTTTTCTTTTAATTTTTTTTATTCTGAGTAAATATTTTGGAACCATTTTTAACAAAATTTAATGCAGAATTTTCCGTGAGATCAGCATGTTTAGTTTGACATATCCTAGATTTCTCTATACTGCTTCAGCATCCCTGATTTTCTGGGTATGTGACACTGCTGATAAATGTACTTTTCAGGTATTTTATAAATATCTTTGTTAATGTTTGATCGTTGAAGTTGAATTTTTAATCATAATATTCCTTGCTTAATTTTCTAGAAACAAATATAAAACTTTTCCATGTAAAAACTAACATTGGAAAATTGATTTGTAAAGACTCTAATAGAGGCACATCACTTTTTTCGTTAGAGTCTTTTATCTTTTTTCATGTTCTTAGTTGTTGACAGTGGAACATACGAACAAATCTAATCATCCATTGAAAAACTTTTTAAAAGACACTTTCTCAATAAAAAATCAAATATGACTAAAAATGTTTTTATTTTCGTTACAATGAACTTTTCTCTTCTGGAGAAATTTTGNAAATAACAAGTTATTGATTGAAATATAAATATTGCGTAATAAGAAAATCAGTATAATTAATTTGTGTAACGTTAAAACAGAGACGGTCATGTAAATCAACTTTGCTTTTTATTGTTTCTTATTATATTAATTAGACATTATCGAAATATTTCGCATTGATCAATTGAATGAATTGTTCATCGATGAAAAACAATTGTCTTTTTATGTTTATTATCAAAAGAAAAAAAAAACAAACAAGAAAATTTATGGACGAAAAGCGAGTAGATAATCATTGTTGATAGTTATTCATGGTTGTGCAGAAAAATATGAAAAGCAAATGAATAATGAAAAAAAAAATATTTGAATGATGAAATGTTGTATAATTCAAGTTCTGAAATTGTAATGACAAAACGTATAACTTCAGGTTAATTTTAGTAAAAATATAGCAATATAAACTTAATGACGATAAAGTGACGATTTATTTTGCATCATAAAACAACGAATTTTATTCTTCACAGAATTCTTCAAGAATATTGCGATGGTTTTCTTTTAATTTTTTTTTATTCTGAGTAAATATTTTGGAACCATTTTTAACAAAATTTAATGCAGAAGTTTCCGTGAGATCAGCATGTTTAGTTTGACATATCCTAGATTTCTCTATACTGCTTCAGCATTCCTGATTTTCTGGCTATGTGACACTGCTGATAAATATACTTTTCAGCTATTTTTATAAATATCTTCGTTAATGTTTGATCGTTAAAGTTGAATTTTTAATCATAATATTCCTTGTTTAATTTTCTAGAAACAAATAAAAAACTTTTCCATGTAAAAACTAACATTGGAAAATTGATTTGTGAAGACTCTAGTAGAGGCACATAACTTTTTTCCTTAGAGTCTTTTATCTTTTTTCATGTTCTTAGTTGTTGAAAGTGGAATATACGAACAAATCTAATCATCTATTGAAAAACTTTTTATAAGACACTTTCTCAATAAAAAATCAAATATGATTAAAAATGTTTTTATTTTCGTTACCATGAACTTTTCTTTTCTGGGGAAATTTTGAAGATTTCAACAAAAGAATTCACATCACTTTGTGAGAGTACTCTACCTTTATTCCATATTAACTGTTTGGCTTCAAATATTGTGGAAAAGATCTCACATTAGAATATAAATTTCAGCGAATTGAAATGTTCTTCAACAAATTTCTAAATTTATGAATCAGTATGCTTGTCAAATAAGTTTAACTAATGATAACAATAGAGACTATAATTGAAAACATTACTAAACTAAAATGAGTATGTCAATAGGCGTATCTTAGGTGTGGGTGTGGATGTCATTGAGTAGAAGACCTACAGTCATACCCAAACTCACACTTACACTTCGTACTTGAATATCATAAAAAATAGGAAACTCTTCGAGCATTGTTGTTAACTATTTTAATAAAGAAAAGTAGATATGCTTGATGTTAAAAGTAATTTTGTCATATGTTTGAATAACTCTTATTAGTTACAAAAAAATGTGTATTTAGAAAGAAGAAGAAACACATGCGTAATATGCATGATAAATTGATGGTATTCAAATTAGTCAATAAAATTCATCATGACTTCTTAAGTCTTAAGAAAATTATATAAAGAAACGAAAATTAATTTTATATTAGCATTAAAATAAAAATGAGAGCTAAATCTAACAAAGTTTTCAATGGTAACAATCTTTCTCAAGTTGAAAATCCTAATAAGAATCACAAATGGAATGGTACTGGAAACAATTTATTATTTTTTCAATCTATTTTGTTCATTTAGATATGAATAGAAAACCTCGGATTAAATTCATCATTATCTTAATATTAAGATTAATTGGGTTAACTTGCTTTATTATATTTATTTGTTTGTTCACTTGATTTAATGAGTTCAACTTTTCGACTTACTGGAGGTTAAACATTATTTTCAAAACAAAAAAAAAATCTTTATTAATAAATATTTTTCATTAAGTAAAATAAGAGATAAAGTTTTTGCTGAAGGAGCAATTCTTTCAAATCCTATTACTGAATTAACGATTGGTTTATTAACAACAGTTCTTGTTCAAAGTTCATCAACATCAACATCAATTGTTATATCAATGGTTTCATCTTCCAGTGAGTTTTCATTCATTTACAAGTAATATTTTTATTTTAAAAAATATCTTAGTTTTGCCTATTAAACGAGCGATACTAATCATTATGGGCAAAATCAAATTTAAATAAATCTAAATAAAATTTATTATTGCTATTTTTTTTAGGAGCAAACATAGGTATATTCTNTTTTCAATCTATTTTGTTCATTTAGATATGAATAGAAAACCTCGGATTAAATTCATCATTATCTTAATATTAAGATTAATTGGGTTAACTTGCTTTATTATATTTATTTGTTTGTTCACTTGATTTAATGAGTTCAACTTTTCGACTTACTGGAGGTTAAACATTATTTTCAAAACAAAAAAAAAATCTTTATTAATAAATATTTTTCATTAGGTAAAATAAGAGATAAAGTTTTTGCTGAAGGAGCAATTCTTTCAAATCCTATTACTGAATTAATGATTGGTTTATTAACAACAGTTCTTGTTCAAAGTTCATCAACATCAACATCAATTGTTATATCAATGGTTTCATCTTCCAGTAAGTTTTCATTCATTTACAAGTAATATTTTAATTTTAAAAAATATCTTAGTTTTGCCTATTAAACGAGCGATACCAATCATTATGGGTCAAATCAAATTTAAATAAATCTAAATCAAATTTATTATTTCTATTATTTTTTAGGAGCAAACATAGGTATATTCTATTAATAAATGCTAATCAAAGATAAATATTCAATATCAATTTCTATTTAAAAGGTACATCTGTAACCAACACATGAGTTGCTTTAACACAATCAGTTTGCATGTTTTCATTAACAAGACTAGATCAAAATTTATTTTGTTTTGTTTTAGGGAAAACGTGAAGAATTTTGTCTTGCATTTACTGGTGCAACTGTTCATGATATGTTTAATTGGTTAACAGTACTTATTTTATTACTAATTGAAATAACTTCAAGTAAATAAAGATTTTTATTTTTGAATATATTTTAATTAAAAAAAATTTAGACATGTTATATCATTTAACTAACCCAATAACAAAATCAATAAACTTAAAACGAAATCCCAATTCTAATCCACAGTTTCTTACTGTTATAACAAAATCATTAACAGAACGAATTGTTCAAGTATGTTATTTTAGATAAAATTTTCTAATACAAATGAATTTTTGTTGTTTATTAGCTTAATAAAAAAAAAGCAATTGAAAGTATAGTACTGAGTAATGCTAGTCCAAATATATCTTTATTAAAACGATATTGTTCATTTAAAAATGAAACTTATAATGATACATTTATTCAAGTTTCAGATAAATATTGTCCATTTTTTTTTTGCTGAAGTTCAATGGCTGATTGGCTTATTGGACTTGTTTTATTGATTAGTTCAATAATTTGTCTTCGTCTTTTATTACTTGTTAAAATTCTTCAATCACTACTTAAAAGAATAGTGAGAAATATTATTTTTAAAGTAATTAATAAAGATTTTCCAGAAATATTTAAACATCTAACACCATATTCAGCTATTCTTGTAAGAAACAATTTTTTAATTAATATAAAATTGATATATTTAATTTAAATAGGTTGGATGTATATTAACAATATTAGTTCAAAGTAGTTCAATATTTACATCAACATTAACATCATTAGTTGGTATTGATATAATAACACTTGAGAGAGTTTATCCATTTACATTAGGTTCAAATATAGGTACAACAGTAATTGGTATTATGGCTGTATTAACTACAACTAGTGAGAAAGATATAAGAAATCCATTACAAATAGCATTTTGTCATATTTTTTTCAATATTATTGGGAAGATATATCTTCAATATTTATATTTAATATTCTATATATGAATAAATAAAAAGCTTGTTAGCGCAGCCCCTTTGGGGCTAAAATGTGGAATTCACATATACACTCTAGCCTCATTAAACTAATACAAAATACGCAAAGTGATAAATCTCTCGTAGACTATAGCTGTCTTGCAAGGTGATCGATGTCTAGAACAATGGCTTCTCTAATTTCTGCATTTTGAACAGAATTTTTTCATTTTCGGTATGGGTGTGGGCGTGGATGTGGATGTGAGCCTGAGCGAAGAGAAGCAGCTAACGTTCACACCCAACCCAATCCAACCCGACATAACCCGAAATGAAACCATATATTATGTATATATATAAATGCGGACCACGATTCGATAAAAATTGAAATAACACACATGTTTTATATCCACATTTTTTTATGAAGTAGTATGAGAAGAGTTATATGTATAATAATACAAAATGTGCCTCTATATATGACAATTAGCACTGGGCATTGTCACATTAATACTGCTCCTTGTAATTATTCTGCACTCTAGGTATAGCCAATTTTGAATTTTCTGGAAAGCGGAATTTAATATGCCCTTCCGCCAGGGTGTGGATGTAGGTATAGGTGTGGGTGAATGATGCGAGTGGGGATGTGGTTGAGCACAAAAGTAAAAATAATATCGACACCCACATTCACACTGTACACAAATATCCGCACCCACAACACACCGTAGACCCACATCAGTCCACCTACTCACTGACGGCAGGCTCCGTTCGTTGGGACATGGTTTTACGAATATCACATAGTAGACAACTGTATCAAGACTTCTAAGCAACACCTGCGGGTACGAGATTGATGAAGCATTCACGAACAACAGGACGAAAATATATCGAGAATCTCTGTGAAAAATATTTTAAACTTCGATAGAGCGACGTGGTAATCGTGGTGCAAGATCGAACTTAATGGAAGAAGCTATACAATTAGTTGCAACCCGATAGGAAAGGCACAAAGAACAGAAAATCAACGAATGAACTTGGAAACAATTTAAGATTTAACAAATATTCAAGACGTCTCCATATAGAAACGAATGTACTCCTAAGCATATTATTAGTCTTGAATTATGTAAAAGATAATTGCTTGCTCTTCAGTTCGATCTATTTTTTTTATTAATAAAAGTAAAACAATTGGTATTATGGCTGTATTAACTACAACTAGTGAGAAAGATATAAGAAATCCATTACAAATAGCATTTTGTCATATTTTGTCAATATTATTGGGAAGATATATCTTCAATATTTATATTTAATATTCTATATATGAATAATTAAAAGCTTGTTAGCGCAGTTCCTTTGGGGCTAAAATGTGGAA